CGACGCCAATGACGAGGATGGTGTGGTCGATGAGCGGCGGCCACGTGGTGTTACAGTGGTCGTTGCTGACTTTGGAGATTGCTTCTGCTGCTGCTGCTGCTGCTGCTGCTGCTGCTGCTGCTGTGTCATCTTCTTTTTCTTCCCACTTCCGCTGCGGCTCGCGGGCTTGGGTGTGCTGTGGGGCGTCTTTGCTGGTGTCGATGTTGTGCTGGCAGGGGCATCTGTCGATGAGCCACCATCATCGGTGCTCGTTGCTGCTGTCTGACCGCCGTCCTTCAACACCCCTGGCGACGACTGCATGCGCGCGAGGGACGATGGCCTTCGCGGTGCCTCCCCACGCTTTCGTGACGACTGCGACGACTGCTGTGACTGCTGTGGTTGCCGCTGCTTCTGCTGCACGGGCGTGGACGCTGACCGACGCCGCCCTTCCTTTGCACTTCGTGCGGCGACGTGCGCATGTTTCGCACCTCCGCCAATGGTGGTGTTGCTGCCTGATGGACTTCTGAGACCACTGGGCGAGCGCTGCCGTGTGCGTCGCAGCTTCGCCGCGGTCGATCGAAGTGGTGTGGATGTTGACGACGCCGTGCCCAGTCCAGAGGCGTGCAGCTTGTGGATGTAGTTGAGCAGCGTGTCCCACCCGCCACCGGTTCGCACCATGAGGTGATTCCGCACCTGGCGGACGTTGACGGTCTTGTCTGCGCCGCCAAAGATGTAGCAGCCGGCACGGTGGGTTGTCTCAAACTGCAGCCAACCGTGTGTGTGTGTGTGTGTGTGTGCGTGTGTGAGTGTGTGTTTGTGTGAGTGAGTGAGTGTGTGAGTGAGTGAGTGAGTGAGTGAGTGTATGTGAGTGTGTGCGTGAGAGTGAGTGTGAGTGAGCGAGTGAGTGTACGTGTGTGTGCGTGAGTGCCGGGGGCTGTGAAAGTCTGGAAGAGTACGAATCGCTGGCACAAAACGACCTGTGGCACTTGTACAAGAGGCTCTCAATACCAATGTATGGGCAAGTTGTGCAATGCAACATGTCACCAACCGTGACTTGGCCCGTGAGGCCTGCCTTGTCGATGCTTTGTTGGACGAGCGGCAACACTGTGTCGCTTCGCAGCTTCCTTTGTTCCTTCTTGAACTTTTCCACAGCTGTCACAGCCAAGGCAGTGAGAACCATGTCAAGAAACATGCATGTGTGTATGTATGTGTGTGCGTGCGTGCGTGCGTGTGTGTCGCGTGAGTTCGTGAGGGAGCAAGTTAATGACAGCGCTATCGGTGCACCCTGATCCCCCCATGCAGTGTACAAGAACATGACCAGACCATTGCAGCACACAATTCAAGCACAGGCCATTGCAACCAGTCTTGTGTCAAACCAACCGCGCGTGCTGAGAGATGTGCGCCTATGGATGGCGTTTGTGGCGCGGCGGCTCAGGCCCGTGTTGACCTTTGCGGACACCTTGGAAACGTTCAGGGGAAGGTTCATAGCCTGGAACGCCGGCCGCTTTATCTGCTGCTGCTTATCCTGTGGAGGGCACGTTTGCAAAACGGAACATTGATGGCCGATCGTCGGTGAGGTGTGATGGCCGAGGCAACAGACAGCCAGCCAACAGCAGCAAGTCATGCCGAGTACGAAATACAAGCCAGCAAGTCGAGCCAAGGAACCCATCAAGCAAACCACCAACCAAGCAACCAAGCCAAGCCAGCCACCGAGTAAGCAAGTGGGTGCAGCGCAAGGTGCGGATTCGGGTTCCACCACCGCCTCTCTCACCTCCGCGATTGCATCACGTGCTCTGACGTCAGCAATGACGCCGGCGACAGGACGCAGGGAGGAGCGTTTTCGCCGCATAATCTCGCGCATGGCAGCCGGCATGCTGCTGTCCACGCGGTGGCGGATGTTGGACAGGTCTGGCGAGCGTGCGTGTGTGTGTGTGTGTGAGTGAGTGAGTGTGTGTGTGTGTGTGAGTGAGTGAGTGAGTGAGTGAGTGAGTGAGTGAGTGAGTGAATGAGTGAGTGAGTGAATGAGTGAGTGAGTGGGTGAGTGGGTGAGTGGGTGAGTGGGTGAGTGGGTGAGTGGGTGAGTGAATATGGCTAAGTGAGTGTGAGCATGTAAGTGGGCTTATTGTCAAGAGGGCGCTAGCGACGAACAAAAAGACACACAGCAGCAACAACGGAAACAAGGTCAGCTACGCTTGACATGCTTGTCTCACCAAGCTTCGGGTACGTGGGGAGCTTGAAGCGGCCAAGGCGGCGTTTCTTCGCCTGATATTGGAAATCACAAGCGGGCGCACAAATGAAGGGTATGACAGATGAGTGAGGGTGCAGCAGTGCATGTTCATCACAAACAGCACGGCAGCACCCGCGCTCTAAATGTGACAGCATTCAGTTTCCACCGCCCAAACTTTATAATCAACAACCAAGCCCCAACAACCACTGTCACAGCACGACTCACCGTGAGCTTTGCATGCCGGGCGTGATATGCGGCCAAGCGGCTGGTGACGCTGCCAACGGTGGCACTGCTGCGTTTACGTGCGCGTGCAGTCCTTCGCTTGAGCTTCCGCATGGGCGTGACCTGCTGCTTTGGCAGCCGCGTCGCAGCGTCGTTCTCGTTCGTCGCATCACCAGCACCAGCACCGTCACCGCCGCCACTGTCATCTTGGTCCTTCGATTGTGACCGCTCCACGCACATCTTCAGGATGCTGGAAATGGCGTGAAATATTTCGTCCTGTCGGGCATTCACGTGCGCCTCCATCGAAGAGAGTGCGGTGCCGAGACCCGTGTTGGCTTTGGACAGCATGCGTGCTGCGCGTGTCACCTCCTTGCTGCACCGCTTGATGCCCTCCACTTGCTCGAGTGCACTGCGCAGCGCATGTTCCAGCGCCTTGAGGTCACGTTTGCTCGTCGTTGCGCTCGACATGAGTGCTGTTGTCGCCGCGTTGATGTCCGCATCCCAGAACCTGAACGTGATGAACGTGATGAACGTGGAATGGGGTGGGAATGGGGTGGGAATGGGAGAGGATGGGGAAAACCAAAAGCACGTGAGTGTGCGTGTACATGACACGAAATGTCAGGGTGTGAGATTTCATCCTTCAAGCACAACCACCGCACAATCACCGCACAGCCTGCTTAGAATGCAAGCAGTAAGTGTCATCGTACTTGGATTGGACGGGCTTGAGCCACTGTTGCGTCATGTCCACAATGTCGGCGTTGCTTGCAAGCATATCCTCCACGAGTTCGGCCGCTTCCACACAGCCAGTGTGAAGCGCATCGCTGCTCACCTGCGTGTCTGTCACCAACTCTTGCACAATCTCCGTTGCCCTGCATTCGAGTCGGGGGTGGGGAAGAAAGAGGGAAGAAGAGTTGGTTTTGCGTGCGTGTGTGTGTGTGTGTGTGTGTGTGTGTGTGTGTTTGTGTGTTTGTGTGTGTGTGTGTGTTGTGTGTGTGTGTGTTTGTGTGTGTGTATGTGTGTGTGTACGTGCGTGTGTAAGTGCGCGCGTGTGTGTTTGTATGTTTGTATGCACGTGCGTGCGTGTGTATGTGTGAGAGAGAGTGTGTGTGTGTGTGTGTGTGAAACAACACCGTGGTAAGTGAGGATAAGCAAGCACTGTCACCAACGAGGCCATCCATCACACTGCCAACAACACACACAACTGACTCATCAAAGTCCTGCGTTTGAAGGAGGAATTCCTTTGTGCTCTCCACTCGCTCCTTCACGTTCGTCCACAGGACATCCGCATCGCGAATGGGGCGGTGGCACAGCCCCTCCTCCATGTCGTTGACAGCCGTGCACGTGGCTGTCAGCTCACGAACCAGAAGCTCGCCCTCCTCTCGCGTGTGTTCGAGACGGCGAAGCAGCGCAGAGAGCTGTGACGTCGACTGAACACCGCCCGCACCACTGTCACCGCCGTTCACTGCCACCGCTGCACTGCCATCACCTTCGCCGCCGCCATCAGCAGTGCTGGTGGAACCAATTGAGCCGACGCTCGTCGTACGCGATTTGCCGCTGCCTACCTCCGTCTCACCACCGCCAGCTGCATGCGCATCACCAACGCCGGCGTCGCCAGTGCCGCCATAACCCGTAAGCGGTGACGATCGACACAGCACAGCCACGTCAACACGCGGGGGAGCAGCGCCAATCCAGTCAATTAGGTCGATGCTGAGCTCTTTGGTCACCACGGTGCCGAGGAGTTGGAAACAGCTCGTGCGGTGCACATCTGGGCATAGGAAGAACACGCCTTCCTCTGCCAACTCTTCCTCGTCCTCGTCATCCTCTTCTTCCTCTTCTTCTTCATCATCCTCCTCGCTGCCACCAGCGTGGATGACTGCGGTCGTGTTATTGCTGGTGCCTGAATCATCGCTCCCAGGATGACTCGTTCCCATCACCATATCATCATTGCCACCACCACTGTCACTGTCACCGTTGTCGCTGTTGGGTGCTGCAGCCTGAGCAGCGTCCTCGGTGTCATCTTCACCACCGCGTGGCGCTGCCACCTCATCTCCATCACTGACTGTCATCGCCTTATCATCATCTTCTACATCACCATCGCTGTGTTCGGCAATGGCGGGCAGAAGGCTCAGGTTCTTGCGCGTCGCAGCTGCTGTTGACGCTGCACCGCTGTCTGTGGACATTCGCGGCGATGGTGTTGCACTCCACTGCTGCGTACTGCGGTGGCTCATGGACAGGCGTTTGCACGCATGCACCACGCCGTTGTGCAAATCCGTGTACGCACACTGCACCGCAAACACTTGCGACGACTGCTGTTGCTGCTGCTGTTGCTGCTGTGTGGAAGAGCCATATGCACCATTGCTCGTGTCATCTCGGTCAGAATCATCGTCACCCACCGCCTTGTTTGTGCGCACGGTCTCGGATGGGATGCTGCCACCTGTGTGTCGGATGAGCACTGCCACGACATGTGTTGGCCGTTCAAAGGTGATGGTCACGCGTGGATCAGCGTCGTCATCGCTGCCATCATCATCATCATCATCATCACCACCACCGCTGTCACCAACCACGACAGCAGTGGGTGCGGTTGTGTCACCATGACCATCGCCTTGGTTGTGGATGTTGGTGGTGCTGGTGTCTTCTTCTATCGCCACGCCATCCTGCCACGCCACGTCCACGCCTGTGTTGCGTCGCCTGATGCCAAATCCAGCGCATGACACGCACCCCTGTGCCCGCTTCACATCTGCTTCCTCAAGGGCAGCCATGACGGGGTGGTAGTCTTGATCATCAGGCAGCCACGTGCTCAATTGCTGCTGCTCTTGTGGCTGCTGCTGCTGTTGTTGCTGTGACTGCTGTTGTTGTTGTGGCTGGTGTTGTTGCTGTGACTGCTCTTGTGGCTGCTGCTGCTGTTGTTGCTGTGACTGCTCTTGTGGCTGCTGCTGCTGTTGTTGTTGTGGCTGGTGAGGTGGTGTGAGGTAGGCCAGGTGGCCAGCAGCAAACGCTTCGACGCAAAGGTGAACGCGGCACGAATCGTTTTCGACACCACGTAATGTCGTGGCGGCATTGTGGGTGTCGCACTGGCGCTGCAGGTGTGCACCATCAAACCGAACGGTGATGAACCGGAACAAACGTCCGGCGTAACGTGACGCAATGGGAGACGATAACACCGTGCCCTTCTTCTTTTTGATGTTCTTGCCCGTGTCCGCTGCTGTGGCCCTCGTGTCACTGTCATCATTGCCACCATCGTCGTCGCCACCGCCGTCGTAGTCATCATGGCGAGTGCACGTGACCTGCACGTCATCATGACGCCACAGCAAACACGTCGGCTGTCCCGCTGTGCGCACGTGTGCAGATGGCGATACGACGCTGTCCGTTGCGCTGGCATCACGATGACTGGCATTGCAACGAGCGTTCATGGTTGCGGTCGCATTGTTGGTGCAGGCAGAGGTGTGATCCAGACATCCCCGCAGCTCCACTCGCAAGGCCGCCAACGCCGCTGGACCGCCAAGACCATCACTTTCCTCGCCATCGTGCCGTTGCTGCTGTTGTTGTTCCTGTTGCTGTGCTTGTAGGTTGTGGTGTTGTTGCTGTGCTTGTAGGTTGTGTTGTTGTTGTTGGCGGGGGGAAGAAACGCCTGTAAGGACGCCGTGTGCCCGAAGAAGCGCCCGCACGTTCAACCCAGCTGTCGTCGCTGTCGCTGGTGCTGTTGCCCCTGCTGTCGTTGTCATGATCGCGTCTTTCGTCCCGTGTGCGCCAGCAACGGCTGCAGCCGCGGAGACGGAGAGGGTGCAGGCGTGCACGTGCATGGGAAGGCCAAGATCAAACGTAGCCGAGGATGAAGTGACGCCGACGGGTGAGAGCGTGCACTGCGTTTGATGCGTGTACCCTGGACGCGTTGGCACGCACAACTCCAATGCCAATGGTGCAAATGAGAGCGGGGTGGCTTCAGGGCCAATTGCCATCCCATCATCATCGTCGTCAAGATCATCCGACAGAACGCCAACGCTGTCCTCCTCATCGCGAAGATGGTCATCACCCGTGCTCACATCGTCTCCGTCAACCTCCAACATCGGCAGATCAGCACGAGCACCAGCTGTATCCTCATTGTCATCGTCGTCGTCGTCGTCGTCGTCGTCGTCGTCGTCGTCGTCGTCGTCATCATCATCATCCTCGTCGCTCTCGCTCTCTTGCTCCTCGCGCTCAATCTCAATCTCCATTGCAATCAATTGCGACGGCTCTGGAGCACAAACAACCGCGTTGGTGCAAGCAGGTGGGGTGGATGTGTGTGTATGTGTGTGTGTGTGTGAGTGAGTGAGTGTGTGTGTGCCTGTGTATGTGTGTGTGTGCATGTGTGTGCATATGTGCATGTGTGTGTGCCTGTGCGTGGGTGCGTTTACGCACGTCCACATATCCTTCGATATGTCCTTCCTCGTACACACACACACACACACGCACACACATACACACACACACACACACACACACACCGCTCGCATGACTCCATTCCCGCGTGCAGCGTACCCATGCCGACGGTTGCTGCGAATCTGGCGACCTCCAGGAGACAGTTGAGCACCGCCCGGTCGTTCCGGCCTTAAGCGGCGGACGAGCAGGCAGCAGCGATGCAGCAGCAGGTTCAGTCGTAACAGTGGTGTGGCTTTGCGTTAATTCTGGTGTTGGCTGCCCCTTGGATCACACACATATGACACACACACACACATATTACACACACGCACACATCACACACATATTACACACACGCACACATCACACACACACACATCACACGTGCTGTCGCACCTTCCACCATGTCGTTTGATTCGAAGAGCAGGACGTCTGGCATCCCAAGCTCTCGGCACCACCGCAGAAACTTCTGCACGTTTGTGCACAGCACCAGCAGAAGAGGCGCAACAAGGACGCGAGGAGACGTGTCAGCGAGAGACACGAATGATGCGCACAACGACGTCCGCAAACACCCCAACAGGAAGGTAAACATGCACTCACGCACACATACACAAGCCCTACGCACTCCATGCGCACATACACAAGCCTGCACACTCCATGCGCGCGCACACACGCACACATACACAAGCCTACGCACCAACGCACACACACACACACACACAATTGGTTGGAGACATACCACGGCATTGTCGCGTGCAAGGAAAGTGTGAGGTTGCGCGTGTGCAAAGAAGCGAAGGCGGCGACTGCCAGTCCCGCACACGCGAGCAGCGGACTCCTGGGCAAGGCGGCAGAACTTAAAGTGCTGGTAGGACGAAGATGGCGGTGGGTAATGGTTCATGCAGGAGGGAAAAAAAAAAGCGGATGCGCAGTGAGAATGTGATGCACAAAGGAGAGCAACAACAAACGCACGCGTGCACATACGCACACACATACGCCATCACTCACTCACGCGCGCACAAACACATGTACATCCCCGTACCGTTGGTCGCTGGTCCATGGGCGTGTTCTCTGCTGCTTCTTCAATTGTGTTGGCCAACTTGCACACCAGCACTCCATTCTGCAACTCCTGCGAGCGGCAAGATTAGCACAAACACAAGCGTGTGAGCATCGTGAGCAGCAGTGTAAGCACAAAACGGTCCATACATGGCATTGCAGTTGTCGTTCAAGGGGTGAAGCCACAACCCGTGTGCGCACCTCCATGAGGTTGTCTTCTGTCAGACGAGCCTGCAGCTGCTGAGACAGCCACTCGGCCAGGTCCTCGCGAATCACCAGGAAGCGTTGTTCCTGTACACGGTACAAACACGCATGTACATTAAGCCATACGTTGAGAGCAAGAGTTGTAACGTGAGAGAAGGGAGGGCTGAGAAGAACCATCGCGCCAAAACGCGAGCGATAAGCGCACTTGGGGCAGTTGTCCAACGCACGTGTGCAGCAAGCAACGCCAACCACGGGGCAGGCTTACGTCGAGGTATCTGCGCCATTCTGGGGACTGGTGGTCAAGGTCAGGCTCCTCCTCGGCCTCTGTGCAGTGCAACGAACAAGCAAGAACGGCAAGTCAGCAAGCAGGAGACACAACTCGAAGTTCACGACCACAACAACGCACATACACACCCGCACACACCCGCACACGCACGCACACGCACGCACACGCACGCACACACACACGCACCGATGCGCTTCCTTGTTGGTGCGAGCATGCTGGAGACTTGGCGCAGCCTCGCGCCAGCACAATCCCCACCACCACACAGCGACAGAACAAGGGAGGATCGAGCCTGAGCCTGTTGTTGCCCTCAGCCAGTCTTCAGAGTGCACGACACACAAAAAAAAACACACAAGAAGCAAGCACACCACAACAACAACAAGACGGGCACTCCTTTGTGCATCGAATCAAATTTTTGTTGGCCCACGAACAGCCGCCAAAAGAAGAGAAAAGGGACAGACAAGCACGAGAGCAGCAGCAGCAGCATAAGAGAAAGAGAGACAAGCAGACAGAGACGACAGGGGAAGAGACAAGAGGCAGCGTGAAGGGCACGATCAGGTGCAGTCGGCGAGGGTGACAGTCGGCAAATCCAGAGTCCAAGTAGAAACGAAGAAACGAGGAACCAATGTGCATGCGTGGTGTGTCTGTGAGTAAGTGTGGGTGCAAGCATGTGCATGTGCATGTGCATGTGTGTGTGTGTGTGTGTGTGTGATCATTTGAGTGAGAGGAGTTGGTGTTGTTGCAAGGTAGCAAGGTGCTTACCTTCCTCGCCGAGGCGAGGATGGCTCGTTGGTTGGGACGCCAAAAATGGCACCATACCAACTCACCAAAACAAAAAAAGGAGGGGAAAAAAGTGAGTGTCAGCCGTCCACTTCCGGGACTGACTGGTACCTAAGAGAGAGAAAAAAGTGTGAGGGTGTGGGGGGCTTAGTACATGTGCATGTGACCGAATGTACATGTGTGTGGTGGGGGTTGTGTGCGTGTGTCTTACCTTAATCAGTGCTGACAGCACTTTTGGGAGGCCCGCGATGTGTTGCCACCACCACCACAGCGGTGGTGGTGGTGTGTGTGTATGTGTGTGTGTCTGGGGTGGTGTTGGTGTTGGTGGTGAGGGAGAAATGACAACGGCCTCTTTTCTCCGACAACAACAACAACAACAACAACAACAACAACAACAACAACAACAACAACAACAACAACAACAACAACAAACAAACAAACAAAACACACACACACACTGGCTGGCTGCTGGGGTTTTCTCAGCAAAGTTTCTTCCCCCATTTAACCAATCACCTGCGACAAGACAGAAGACACGCCCATCTGTCGAAAGTTTGCCAATTACAAAGCGGCAAGCGGGAGCGGCATTGACAGATTATCGTCAACGCGCCATTCACAGCCACGCCCCCTTTACCAACATTTTACCACCTGTCTTTCGGTTGGAGGTACGCCACTGCCTTTGCACAAAAGCCAAAGCTCGAGCTGTCGAGCTTTGTCAGGTATTGTTGTGGTGTCCCATTCTAGCATTCTGAGCTTTCTGTGCATTGTGTGTCAAATCATGTCATTTTTCACATCAACACGTTGCCTTTCATCTTTACTCAAGGACCTAAGGACACAAGGCACATGCAGAACCACAGTGCAGCAGCAGTAGCGGTAAGTTTAACACACGCCTACACAACAACACAGGCAACCAGG